GCAGAGGAAGAAAAGAATAAAGACTCTAGAAAAAAAAAGGGGGGGGGGCAATTTTGAAGGTGAACCCTGAGCAGGAAATAGGCTACAGATGGTGAATGTGTGACATGCTATGTCATTTTGGGTGACCCCCCCCCCAGGACTTCGGACCCTCTGGAAGTTACAGGAAAGGAACCTGCTCTCGCACGACTTCGGAAGCCTCCCAAAAAAACATGCTGGAAGGGGGCATGTTTTCCCGCTCTTTTTAGAGGCTGCAAGGCCACGCCGAAGTTATTTCTCTGAGGTTTCCAGGCTTCGTGCAATCTGGAACCGCCTCAGATAGACATTATAAAAAACATTTACAATTATGTATGTCTGTTGCAGTCCTCCACTTACAAGTTACAATGGAGCCCGCAATTTCTGTGGCTAAGCCAGATTCAGTGAATTTTGCCCCATTTTACGACCTTTCTTGCCACGGTGGTTAAGTGAATTCCTGCCGTTACATTAGTAACACACGGTCGTTAAGTGAATCTGGCTCCCCCATTGACGTGGCGTGTCAGAAGGCGGCAAAAAGGGGATCACGTGACCTGCAACCGTCATAAATATGAGTCCGTTGCCAAGCACCTGAATTTTGATTACATGACCATAGAGACGCTGCGACGGCTGTGGTAAAAAACAATGCTAAATTGCTTTTTTTTTTTCAGTTCCGTTGTAATCTTTGATCGCTAAACAAGCAGTTTTAAGTCGAGGATTATCCATTATTCATAAAAAACTGAACGTGGATTCCAGGTTGGGTGGCCTTTATATAGAGGGTCCCCAGCCAGGAGGAAGGGATCACCAATATGTCCTAGCCCTGCCCACTCCCCAAAAAGATATCTAAGGTCAGTTTTGGTCCCATCCTGGTTAGCTTTTATTCTCCCTTGATGCCTTGGAATGAGCCAGAACGGTACTTCTATGCCAAGGGTATTCAAACTTGGCAACTTTAAGACTTGTGGACTTCAACTCCCAGAATTCCTCAGCCAGCCAAGGCTGGCTGAAGAATTCTGGGAGTTGAAGTCCACAAGTCTTAAAGTTGCCAAGTTTGAAGACCCCTGTTCTAGGCCATCTGGAATGGTCTTCTATCTTGAACTGACTGGAAGAGGTCACAGGTAGTCTTCGATTTACGGCCCCAAAGGAGCCCAACATTTCTGTTGCTAAGCAAGACAGTTGTCAAGCGAATTTGTCCCATTTTACAACCTTTCTTTCCACAATTGTTAAGTGAATCACTGCAGTTGTTTAAGTTAGTAGCACGGTTAAGTGAATCTGGCTTCCCCGTTGACTTTGTTGGTCAGAAGGCCGCAAAAGGAGATCCCACTGCCTCCGTTATAATTATGAGCCAGTTGCCAAGCGTTGTGAATTTTGATCCCATGACACTAGGGATGTTGCAACAGTCATAAGTATGAAAAACAGCCGTAAGTCGCTTTTTTCACTGTCACTTCGAACGGTCCTTGAATGAAAACTGTTGTACGTTGAGGCCTACCTGTACTTCAGTAAGCTGGAGGTCGATCAAGCCCTGTGTAAGGTAGAACAGGGGTCCCCAACCCCCGGTCTCTGGACCAGTACCGGGCCACTGCATGCACGCAACCGGTCCACACAAACAAGCAAAGCTGCATCCATGGGATGCAGGCAGCACACAAAAGCACGTATTTTCCGATCCGAGGAAAAACCATTCTCCACGGAACCGGTCCCTGGTGCCCAAAAGGTTGGAGACCTCTAAGGTAGAGAGAGGGGCCTTTGAGTCTGCCCCAGGCTCCAAAACATCCTAGGCTGGCCCTACCCCACCAGCTGAACTCTGAACTAGCCAGAACAAAAGGGCTATTTTAGGAAACCATTTGTTCAGAAGATATTTAGTTCCAGCAGAAGTATTTTCCAGCCAAGCAGTTACAACAGTGAAAGGAGGAGGCGGGAACGAGAAATTTGAGTCTTCCTCAGGATCCTGTCCAGACCCCGGACTGATCAAAGACTCACCCTTCCCACCATCTTTCTGGAAGATTTCAAAAGTTGGCATTCAAACCCTCCTGTATTTGACGGGATCCCAGGACAGAAGCCAAAAACAATCGGCATTCCTCATTTGGATTATTTGTTTGGAAAAAAAGACCACATTATTGTTCGGAAGATCTGTCACTAGACAACTGTACAAAACTGCAGGCTCGGCGAGCTGGAATTGGATGCCTTTGACAAAGGAAGCCCTCTAGTTTCCACAGGGCAGAAAAACAAACCAAGATCCCTCTTTGGCAACAGCTTAGTCCAGAAGTGCAACTGTGTCTGGCTACTACAATTCCTTCTGCCTGAGGGTTTCACCATCTGAAACGAGCATCTTTTCTCCATTAACCCGTGTAATTGGCCAAACCACTTTTGATCTGAAGCAGATCTCCAAAGCCCCAAACGTGAATTGTGGACTTTTCGTAAACTTCAGGTTAGGATTAGTAAGATTCTAAAGCAGTGGTGGCAAACTTATGGCACGGGTGCCAGGGACGGTACTCAGAGCCCTCTCTGTGGGCACGCGCGCCATCGCCCCAGTCCTAGGCCTTCAGCTGGGTTTTATAAAACTTTTTTGCTTTAGGCCTCTGCCACCGTGTGCAAAAAAAAAGGTTCAATCAGTCAATTTCAACTTCTCGCAGGAAAAAAAAAGATCTTGCAAAGTTGGAATTGATTGATTCAACTTTTTAGTCCCAGCCAGTCTGCCGTTACCACCGCAGCCATGCCCACCCAATGGGCCACACCCACCCAATGGGCCACACCACCCGACACTCGACGATGCATAAGTGGGTTTTGGGTTTCAGTTTGGGCACTCGGTCTGTAAAAGATTCGCCATCACTATTCTACAGCATTGGCAATCCTGGAGAATTATAAAGAGTGCAAGTCTTAGAATTTGGTGAAGGAGGTTGGGTTGGGAAACAGCAAATCTCAAGACTCTGCAATGCAACAAAGGCAGTCCTTGACGGTTGTTAAGTGAATCACTGCAGTTGTTAAGTCAGTAACACGGTTGTTAAGTGAATTTGGCTTGCTTATTGACTTTGCTTGTCAGAAGACCTCAAAAGATTTGAGATTTGCTGTTTCCCTTACTAATCCTAACCTGAAGTTTACACAAAAGGTCTTCTGGGACACTGCAACTGTCACAAATACATGCCAGTTGCCAAGGGTCCAAATTTCAATTACGTGCCCATACGAACACTGCATTAGTCGTAAGTGGGAAAAATGGTCATAAGTCACTTTTCCCAGTGCCGTTGCAATTTGGAATGGCTACTAAATGAATGGTTGTAATTACAACCTCAACTGGACCAAAATTTACATTGTTAAGGTGGTTATTAAGTGGGTCCTGCCCAATTCTGCCACCTTTTTTTGTCACAGTTTTTGTCACTGCAGTTCTTAAATGACTCATATGGACATTAAATGACTTAAATGACTCATATGGATATTAAATGACTTAAATGACTCATATGGACTCATATGAATCTGGCTTTTCTTCTTTGACGTTGCTTGTTTGGAAGCCGGCTGGGAAGGTCCCAAACGGAGATTGTGTGACCCCCAGAACTCTGCAACTGTCAAAAATACATGTCAGTTGCCGAGCATCTGAATTTTGATCATGTCACGATCAGGATGCTACAATGATCGTGTGAGGACCAGTTCTAAGTCATTTTGTTCAAAGCCCTTGAACAGTCCATAAACAAATGGTTGTAAGTTGAGAACTACCTCTAACAGATGCTGGGAGACACATCTCTTAAATTCAGTTGCTAACTTATCAGTGGCCCGGTTGGGAAACATGGAAAAACGTCCAACCTTCCAAAATTTTATATATTTCATAAATGATGAAGCTACAGCCAACATGGAGGCTGAGACAGGAAATTTTTCCAGGCTCTGCCCCAATTAAAGCTGGGACCTTGGAACTGCCAATTATGGCCTAGCCTTAATAGATTGCAGGAACACCGCCATCTTAATTGGGATAATGAGCAGTCCAGCAACAGGGATTCTCATGATGTAAAGCTGGGTGCCTCGGGTTAAACCTGGGCTAGGATTATATTTCTGGGGCTGCACGTCTTATTTGAACCCAGCCTGCTTGAGTAGCTGAAAATACAATTTACTGGGTAACATCCCTGAGGGGTGAAGTGGTTCCACCACACCTTAAAGAAATTGGTGGCATCAGATTGATTAATAAATCCAGGGTGAAATTGAGTTGGCCTTTTCTCCTCTATTTCGGAGGAGGAAAATTTGATTTCTCCCACTGGGAAGAGGGTAGAAAAGGGGGTTCGTCCTCCTTTGAAGAAGAGGAGCTGGAGAAACATCTGTTGGCCTCAGAGGCTGGCCTTTGAAGATTTTCCCCACCCCAGCCCCCAAAATTGGGAAAAGAAAAGAGAATATTTGTAGCTCAGGGTTGGAATGAGGGGTCCGGGGTGCTCTCTGAGCCTGCTTCTTTTCTTGCAGACGTTTCACGACGCAAGTTGACTACTTTGGGTGATGAGACGTCTGCAAGAAAACAAGCAAGCTCAGAGAGCCCCCCCCCCTGACACCCCCCCCCTCCCCAAACTGGGCAAAAGACCACGGCCCATTTTGCCAAGGCGAACCTGGGGGTTTTCCTGCAGGCTTGCCCCAAAGCATCCTACGTCTGCAAGCTCCGACTCGTGTCCATCGCTTTCCGACCTTCCGTAAGTCAGGCAGCCGAGTTAGCCTCGCCAGCCACGACCAGGTCAGTCGCGGGTCAGGCACGGGGCTGGCTTTTTGTTCCCCTTCCCAGGCCGAGCCAAAAAGCCAGGGCGCAGCGACGGCGCAACGCCGCCCGGGAGACCAGGCGCCAGCGAGCCGGCCGCAGCAGCAGCAGCTCGGCGCCTGGCTGGGGAGGATGGGAATTGCGATCCAAAAGGAGAGGCTGGTGGTGGTGGTGGGGGGAACCAGGACCGGGCTGGGTGGAAAGGACTCGGGGGTGGAGTCCCGGCCGACGGGGACTCCAAGCCCCATCGTCCTCTTCCCCCGGGCGGCCTGCAGCTCACCCGAAATCGTCGTCCATGGACTTGAAGTAGAACTTGTAGTTGGGCCGGTTGAGCAGCGCCTTGAAGTCGCCCAGCGTGACCCGCTCGGCCGGCAGCGGCAGCTTCACCAGGTACGGCGTCTCCTGCTCGTCCAGGTGGTAGATGATCTTGGTCTCCGCCGCCGCCATGGCCGACCCCAGACCCGGGCAGACCCGGCCGCTCCCGCCCAGCCAGGCCCGCCGCGCCGCGCCGCACCGCCCGGCCTCGTCCCTTGTTCTCGGACCGGGTGCCAACGCCGCCCGCCCTCCCGGCCCAGCGCGCAAGCTCCGGCCGCTCCTCCTCCGCCGCCGCCGCCGCCGGCTCCTCCCCTGCGCGAGGCGGCCGCGCCCGGGACCCCCCGCCGCTCCGGGGAGGCTGCGGAGCCCTGGCGGGAGGAAGAGGAGGCGGCGCCCGGGGAGGCCTTTGGGGAAGGGGGGGTCCCTCGGGCAGCCCCCAGGCCCTGCGCTTTGCCGGGGGCTGGGAGGGGCAGGGGCGGCTGAGCCCCCTTTCACAGCCGGCCTGAGGGTCGCCGGTCCCGGTTTGACCTCCCTCGCCCCCCCCGCGGTGGGCCAAAACGTGTTTCTTTTGGTCGTTGAGTTTGGTGGAAGAATCGCCAATCCAGTGCTCGTCTCTTTCTCTCTCTCTCTCCCCATCCCTCCCTCTCTCTTTCTCTCTCCCTCCCTTTTTTTTTCTCCCTCTCTGTCTCCCCCTTTTTTTCTTTCCCTCCCTCTCCCTTCTCTTTCTCTACCTTTCTCCCTCCTTTCTTTCTCTCTCCCTCTCTCTCTTCCTCTCTTTCTCTCTCCTCTGTCTCCCTTCCTTTCTCTCCCTTTTTTCTTTCCCTCCCTCTCACTTCTCTTTCTCTCTACCTTTTTCCCTCATTCTTTCTTTCTCTCCCTTTTTCTTTCTTTCCCTCCCTCTCCCTTCTCTTTCTCTACCTTTCTCCCTCCTTTCTTTCTCTCTCTCTTCCTCTCTCTCTTCCTCTCTTTCTCTCTCCTCTGTCTCCCTCCCTTTCTCTCCTTTTTTCTTTCCCTCCCTCCTTTCTCTCTCTACCTTTCTCCCTCCTTCTCTTTCTCTCCCTTTTTCTTTCTTTGCCTTCCTCTCCCTTCTTTCTCTACCTCTCTCCCTTTCTCTTTCTCCCCCCTTTCTTCCTTTCTCCTTTTCTTTCTCTTTCCCTCCCTCTCCCCTTCTCTCCCTCTCCCTTTCTGTCTCCCTCTCTTTTTCTTTCTCTTTCCCTCCCTCTCCCACTATCTCTCTCTCTCTCCCCCCCCCTCAGACATGCAATCTCTTGCTTTCTTTTTCACTCACATTTTCTCACAAACATACACAGACACAATATTTCTTGCTCTTTCTCACATTTTCTTTCTCACACAAATCTTCCTTGCTCTTACACACACACAAATTTTTGCTCTTTTTCTCTCACACACACATTTCTCCTCTCTCTTGCCTTCTCTTTTTCACTCACATTTTCTCTCACACACAAAAACATATATTTTCTCTCTTTCTCAAACACATATCTTTTTCTCTCTCTCATCTAGGTCATCCTTGCTTTTTTGGGGAGGGGGGGTGTCAGGCCTCTTGCCATCCATCATTGTCATCTAAGATCCCAACGGCTGGAGTCTTTCCTGTTTGGGATCTGCTCCGGCCCACTAAACTAATCCCTTCAGTTGCCTTTTTTCCCACCTTTGCATTTCCAACTTCCTCCAAGTCTCATCCCTATCCGGGTGTTGATCTTCACACCCAACCTGGAGGTCCCTGAGATGTGGGGCAATGCCTCCTGTCCATTTTGCGCTTGGCACAACACTTGCAGTAATAACCTGATTCTTACGTTGCAGCAGAAGCCATGTTCTGGATTTTATACTATTATCTTTTTACTTTATATAGCTTTTATTTCTTTTATAACTAAGCTGCCCAGAGTTACCCTTAGGTAAGATGGGCAGCCTATAAATTTTATACATAAGTAAATGACCTCATTGGTTGAGATAATTGGCTCCATTCAGCTGTTCCTTGTAAAGCATAAGGTGGCTGGAAAACCACCACAACTATGCCACAAACCATGGCTTTGTGGAAAGGGTGAACTAACCCATGGTGGCTTCTATTGCATCCCTTCATGCTGACATTTCAGGCTCTGTATCAGGGGTCTTCACACTTGGCCCTTTTATGACTTGTGGACTTCAACTCCCAGAATTCCTCAACCAGCCTCCATTTTATTTGTTAAGATTTAAGACAGGGGTCTTCACACTTGGCCCTTTTATGACTTGTGGACTTCAACTCCCAGAATTCCTCAGCCAGCCTCCATTTTGTTTGTTAGATTTAAGACAGGGGGTCTTCAAATTTGGCCCTTTTATGACTTGTGGACTTCAACTCCCAGAATTCCTCAGCCAGCCTCCATTTTGTTGTTAGATTTAAGACAGAGGTTTTCAAACTTGGCCCTTTTATGACTTGTGGACTTCAACTCCCAGAATTCCTCAGCCAGCCTCCATTTTGTTTGTTAGATTTAAGACAGGGGTCTTCACACTTGGCCCTTTTATGACTTGTGGACTTCAACTCCCAGAATTCCTCAGCCAGCCTCCATTTTGTTTGTTAGATTTAAGACAGAGGTTTTCAAACTTGGCCCTTTTATGACTTGTGGACTTCAACTCCCAGAATTCCTCAGCCAGCCTCCATTTTGTTTGTTAGATTTAAGACAGGGGTCTTCAAACCTGGCCCTTTTATGACTTGTGGCTGAGGAATTCTGGGAGTTGAAGTCCACAAGTCATAAAAGGGCCAAGTTTGAAGACCCCTACTCTATATCATTGTGCCTTCTTTTCTAGTTAACTTGAAGGAACATTAAAATGAACTTTTTTTTTTTAGGTCTCCTTTCTATACTGAATTATCCTCGTGGGCTACTCTTGCTTGACAGGCCGAGCAGTTTTCTAATGGTCCTCCATAAATTAATTCCTTTGCATTCTCTTTGAGGATGGGTCCAGACAGGCAGGCTGATCTCCAAGTGACTTAGCTAATCCCCCACTGAAAAGTTTTTTGGTTTTTTTTTTGCATAAGAATCATAATTCTGCTTTTCAAGTCATGGTCCAAGGCATTTCTGTAGGAAGCACAAAGTTGCAAGATCCAATCTGGATCTGTCACCGGGACCAGCGGTTTTGACTTCCGAGCTTTCGGACTCTGGATATAACTCATTTTTAGGGAACTTTCTCTAGCAGAGTGTGCACTGTTTTGTGTGCGATATTTATAGTGCCTGTTGTATGTGGCTTTTTAAATGTGGATTGGGGTGTGTTGATGGCTGGCTTTTAAGTCATTGGCTGTCATTTGTGCTGCCCAGCCTTTGCCTTCTGAGTATTTGATAGGTTGGTGGCAAATCAGATAGGTTGGTGGCTGTTTCCCAGGCTTTGACCATTTCCCTGGCTGTTTTTGTGCCTGCTCATCCGACAATCTTAGTAGCTGCAAAATTGATTGTGTGCCCTTGTTCAGGCACTACAAATACCACAGCAGACACTCTGCTAGAGAGAAGTTCCCTAAAGATGGGCCCCAGCACAAGTCCAAAAGCTTCAAAGACAAAATCCCCAGTCCCAGTGACCGACCCAGATTGGATCCTGCAACATTATCCTGCAATACATAGATTCGACTTCATTCATGAAACACAAAGTAGGATGTTGGGAAGTATTATCTTGGCAAAGATAATAGGAAAGAGAAGAAGATGACCAGCAGCAATGGTGATAGATGCCCTGTAGGGAGATTTGAATGCTAAACTTGGGGAGAGATCGTCATTAAATTTATATGACCGCTAAGAGGTAACATCTACTTGATGGCACTTAATCAGTCAATCAATCTCATTCATGTGCTCCTACATATTGTATAGAACATAGAACAACGGAGTTGGAAGGGACCTTGGAAGTCATCTAGTCCACCCCCCTTTTTGAGCAGGAGAGTCTATACCAGGGGTAGGCAACCTTGGTTCCTTCATGACTGGTGGACTTCAACTCCCAGAATTCCTGAGGCAGCATGGCTCAGCTTGGAAACCTCTCCCTTTCCCCTCAGCATGGCTGGCTCAGGAATTCTGGGAGTTGGTCCACGAGTCATGAAGGGGCCATAGTTCCCCCATGCTGGCTCAGGAATTCTGGGAGTTGAAGTCCACGAGTCATAAAAGAGCCAAGGCTGCCTATCCCTGGTCAATACCATTTCAGACAAATGGCTGTCTCTCAACTTTTCAACTTTGCATTCTATTTATTAACACAACTGCATAGAAAATAATATTTTGCTTCAATTGAAACATTTCATAATGAGTTATCAGTCACCCTGTTTTAAGGGTTTGGAGTTAGAAAATAAGACGGGCAGTGCACTAATTTATTTTCAATTAAGCAAAGGTTTAAACTTGACTCTCCTCCATCCTAGCCCAGTACTCCAATAATTACGAGTCTATCATGTTTTTCTGCTGTTTTAGCGCACAATACTTACTCAATCTTTAAGGCATGCTTTGTATATTGTTTTGCAGTTCAGTCCATATGATCAGTTTGCATTGCAGCACTGCCAATTTTTTTTCCCTCTGTAAGAGTTCAAAGTTTCTAGGATGCTGATTTATAAACAGCATAACCACAACAAGTTATTCAACACGAAGTAAAAAAAACCCAAAACAAAACAAATAGATTGCCCAGAAGCAACACACAACAAAACCTCAGCTGAAATAGAACAGGCTAAAGACAAACAAAATAAATTATACTGAAGTCAACAACAATGAAGAGAAGACTTATAGTAAACAGTTCAGCCACATTCCTTACATTGTCCAAGCTTTCAAGCAGAAGAAATTCCTGTGAAGTTAAAGGGTGGGAATAAGTGTGTGTGTTTGTGTATGTGGACGTTTGTGTATACATGTGCATGTTCAAGCTGGGCTCCAAAATTCCAGACATCTAATGGAAGACAGCAAAAAATGAGGTACTACTCCCTTGCCATCCAGATTTAGGTAGCCCCCCGACTGCAAAGCGATCAAACCGGTCAGTCCTAGAGGAGATCAACCCCGACTGCTCCTTAGAAGGCCAGATCCTGAAGTTGAAACTCAAGTACTTTGGCCACCTAATGAGAAGGAAGGACTCACTGGAGAAGGGCCTGATGCTGGGAAAGATTGAGGGCAATAGAAGAAGGGGACAACAGAGAATGAGGTGGCTGGATGGAGTCCCTGAAGCAGTAGGCGTGAGCTTAAATGGACTCCAGAAGATGGTAGAGGACAGGAAGATCTGGAGGAACGTTGTCCATGGGGTCGCGATGGGTCAAACACGACTTCACAATTAACAACAACAAAATCT